CTGGGAAACTAACTTAGGAATGTGCTGTGCTGAGGAAACAATGTTCAAAAGATTTAGCAAAGCATGCAGAACTGTTAGTGATAAGGTTAGAGTATAATCATAAATAAAGTACTGGTGGTGGGTAGTGGCGTAAGAGGGAGATTAAGGGGGAGAACACTATAGTCCTAGGGTAAGCAACCATGAAGGATCTATGATGTAAAATGTTATCTACAAGGTGAATGTATCTATATTATTTAGAAGAATGTGTACTTCTGCACATAAACCATTTGTAAAAAAGGGTATAAAAACCCTCTAAAAAAGGGAACCAGTGGGATTCTGACTTTGGACGTGAGTCAGCAGGTCCCCGGGCCCTGAATAGAGCACCGCATATACTGACACTCTGTTAGTTTGTGTTTTGGTTTGGGGTATCGGGCAATAGAGGGAAAAGAGCTCAAGAATGGGCTTAACAAGTCCAGAAAAGGGGAAAAGACCCTAAATTGGGGGGAACTGCCACGAATTCCCCTCGATTTTGCCTTTCTTCCCACCCAGTGATGTGGAAAATTGACATTTCACCTGGGTGGCCGCACCTCAGCGCTGACGTCATCCTCAAACAGCCTCAGATCCGGTAAACCCGGATTTTTTATAACCCCGAAACTGTGCTTTCACCCCCAAAATAAAGCCTGTGAGAAAACGCCGTTTGCGGGTGATCTGGGGATAAAATGCTGGGAATTCAGAGAAAACACGAAGTGGGAATGTGCTGGGGGCAGTTGGGGGCGGGGAGGGCTGTTCCCACCCTGTCCTGCCGCGGGCGGTTCCGTGTCCCCCCCGTCGGTCAATATTTCCCGACGCCTGAGTCCCACGGGGGGAAGGGCGGGGGGGCACCCGGATGTTTGGTGCCGGGGAGGGGGAGGCGAGGGGGTTCCCGGATATCCGAGTCCACCAGAGGAGGTGTGTGCTATGGCACACCTGGAGGATACCCCTCACCGGTATCCCCAGTTCCTCCCAGTACATGCCCCAGGGCTCTCCAGTGTGCTCCCTGGTATCCCCAGTCTCTCCCAGTACAACACCCTCCTACCCCCCCCTCCAGTCTCTTCCAGCCTCTCTCAGCTGGCCCCAGTATACTCCCATTGTCCCCAGTCCGTCCCAGTGCATTCCAGTCCTCCCCCACTATTCCCCATGGTGTTCCCAAATCCCTCCCAGTTTGTCCCAGTCCCCCTAGTGCCTCCTAGTGCATTCCCTTGTCACTCAGTGTCCCTCCAGTGCCCGTTTAAGCCTTGCAGTGTCACCGAGTATGTTCCAGCGTCCCCCAGTGCCTCCCAATGCATGCCAGTCCCTCCCAGTGTCCCCAGTGCCCCTCCAACATTCCCAGTGTCTTCCAGTATGTCCCAGTAACCCTCAGTGCCTCCTAATGCATCCTAGTCACACTGAGTGCCCCCCTAATGTCCCCTCCAGCCTTCCCAGTGTCTCCCAGTACATCCCAGCCCCTCCCAGTGCCCCCACCCCCCAATCCATCCTAGTCCATTTCAGTCCCCCCCAGTTGCAATCTGAGCAGATATGGAACTGCCTGGGGCCCTGGGAGATGCCACCTGGGAGTGTCCCATGTCATCCCCCACCCCCCAGCCTGTCCCCTCCCTGAGGATAAAGTGGCTCCAGTCACAGCACTGGGACAGACTGGGACCATGGGAGTGCAGTGAGTGGGGACACTGGTGGGCATGGGGGACATGGGGACATAAGGGACGTGGGGGTACATGTGGGACATGGTGGACACAGGGGAATATGGGGGACCAGTGAGAGCACATGGGGGTCATGGGGACATAGAAGGGGAGCATGAAGGACATGGGAGGACAGGGGGACATGGGGGGTATTTTGGGGACATGTGGGACAATGGGGGAGACATAGAGTGGCATGGGGGGGGATATGGGTACCCTAGGGACATGGGGAAGATGGAGAGGTGACAAGGGACATGGGGACATGGTTGATGGGGATCCCATCACACTCCTGCAGGCCTGGACACATGAAGGTCCCCCCCATCCTCATCCTCCTCCTCCTCAGCCACGCAGAGGACTGGGGAGCCCTGATGACATCGGGGACCCCTGTGGGACCCCTGGGTGAGTTTGGGGTCCCAGGCTTATACTGGGGAGGTGCCAGGTCCATACTGGGAGGTTCTGGGGTAATACTGGGGGTCCTAGGTCTACAGCAGGAGTTTCCAGTCTCACTAGGAGGTCTCAGGCCCTTACTGAGAGGTTCCAGCTCCATACTAGGACATCCCAGTCCCCTACCAGCAGGCCCCATGACCACACTGGGAGTTTCTGGGGTGACACTGGGGGTCCCTGGCTCATATGGGAAGTCTCAGGCCTATACTGGAAGGTCCCAACTCCATACTGGGAGGTCCCAAGTGCCACTGGGTGTGTCCCTCAGGTGTGGTCCTGTGTGGCACTGGGTGTGTGTCCCAGGTGTGTGACAAGTGTGTGTCCCCAGGTGGGGTCCTGTACCCCTTCGGACCAGGGGTGGGGGATGAGGCCACCCACCACGAGGACGACGGGACAAGCCCTGAGATCTTCCTGCAGGAAAACTTCTCCTTCTTTGGGCATGCCCACCGCTCGCTCTATGTGGGTCATGTGACCGGGGGGACATGGAGGGGGTGGCATTTGGTGGGTGACACAGGTGGAGGGTGACATCAGGGGGAGGTTGACAAGTTGGATGCAGCCACCAGAGTTGATGTTACCTCTTCCTCCTCCTCCTCCTTGACTACGTTGGTGAGTGGGGACCCCTGGGGATATCCATGGAGGTCCCTGAGGACATTTGGGACACCTGTGGGCCCCTCAGGTGGTTTTGGGGTTCCAGGCCCATACTGGTAAATTCTGGGATGACACTAGGGCTCCCAGGCCCATACTGACTAGAGGTGACTGTGGTGACTGACTGGAGGTTGGGGGTCATCACAGTTGAGGCCACAATGACAGGGGTCACTATAGTTGGTGACACTATATAGCGGAGACACTGTACCTGGGACCACCGTGGAGGGTCACTGTGGTTGGTGCCACCCAGGTGTGTCCCATTGGTGACCTTTGCCTGCAGGTGAACAACAACGGTGTGGTGTCCTTTGGGACAATGGTCCCGGAGTTCACTCCCCAGCCCTTCCCACTGCCAGGCCACCGCCCCTTTGTGGCACCGTACTGGGCTGATGTGGACACTCGCCTGGGAGGGGACGTCTTCTACCGCCAGAGCCGGGACCCCCAACTGCTGGCACGCCTGGCCCAGGACCTGGCACCTGCTGTGCCACCTGGAGACCCGTCCCCACAGCCTACCTGGGCATTCGTGGCCACCTGGGACCGTGTGGCCTATTTCGGGGCTGCCTCAGACAAGGTGGGCTATGGGACAAGGTGAGGGGGGGCTCAAATATCTTGACCTTCAACCATGATGTCCCTAATGGGCATGGTGGCACCAAAGGTTTGGGGACACAGGGATGGAGACATAACTGGCAGTCACAGTGACATGGTGACAATGTCTCTCTGCAGGTGAACACCTTCCAGGCTGTGCTAGCCTCCGACGGTGTTACTTGCTTTGTCCTGCTCAACTACGGGGACTTGCAGTGGACGACTGGCATTGCTAACCAGGGAGATCCCCACACTGGCCTGGGGGGCATCCCTGCACAGGTGGAGACACAGAGAGGGAAAAGGGACACTGGGCATGTGCTGATGAGGACAGTCCAAGGGATGGGAGACACTGGGCTAGGAGGGATTCTGGGCTTGAATGGGGTAGAGCATTTTGAGGTGGAATTAAGGGGATTTGGGTGGAATTAAAGAGATTTGGGGTGAAATTAGGGGATTTAAAATAGGATTTGAGGGAATTTGGGGTAGAATTAAGGGGATTTGTGGTGAAATTAGGGAGATTTGGTCTGAAATCGGGGGTTTTAGGTGGAATGAAGTGGATTTGGGGTGAAATTAAGCTCACTTTGGGTAAAATTCAATGGGAATTTGAGCAGAATTTACCCCCCACCTTCTGTCCCCCTGTTCCCCTCCCTTCGTGTCCCCCCCTATTCCCCCATCTTCCTCCCTGCAGGCTGGCTTCAACAGTGGGGATGATGTCCACTACTACAATGTGCCAGGGTCACGCACACGCGCAGTGCAGAGCCTCAGCCACCGCAGCAACATAGGGGTCCCGGGGCGCTGGGCTTTCCGTGTTGACCACTTCGAGGCCACTGAGGGACCCCCCGAGACCCCTGGCACCCTGCCAAAGACCTCTGAGGACCCCTGGAGTCCCTTGGCATCCCACAAGACCCCCCCAGTATCCCCCAACCCCCCCAGGACCACAGAGGACCAGGTGTATGTCTGCAGGTCCTGAGCAGGTGACACCTGAGACATTTGGGGTAGGGGGATTGCCTAACAGCCCTCACCCACCCCCACAGAAGGATGTAGCCACAGAAGCTGCATTATGATGGAAACAGCAATAAACACCCACTGAGCAACACCTGTGTCAGGTGTGTGTACACAGATGCATGTGGGCAGCAACACAGGTCATGTATTGTCATGTGTGAAATGTGTACCTATCCCCACCTGTTCCCAAGAAGGTGATAGAATCAAATGAGGAGGGATATTGTCAGTGAGGGGTGACATCTGGGTTGTACGTGAGTGTGACACACACCTGAGTCACGCATAGGTGTGACACAGATATACCTGGATAATATCTGTTGTAAGATGCACTACACCTGGACAGCACCCAGCTCACACACTCCTACAATGGTGGCACACCTGGACAACACCTGAGTTCCACACAGGTGTGGATCCACCTGGATAATACCTGCTGCAATACAACACTTTAGCCATACAGCACCTGGGTACCATCACCTGGACACCACCAGCCCAGCTGAGGGCCCCAACAGTGAAGCCAAGGGCAGAGTAAAGGACAGAGTTTGGCTTACAGTTAGGGTTAGAGGTTACAGTTAGGGGTTAGTGGTTAGCATTAGGAGCAGGGCTAGGACTTACAGTTTGGGTGTGTTAGAGTTACATTAGGGGTTATTGTTTGGGTCAGATGTTAGGGATGCTTTTATTAAATAGCTGTAAGTTTTTATTTAATATTGGTGTGACATAATTTTTCATATTTGTAGTTATCCTTTTGGGGACAGGATGTCATAGATACTAATGTCGTGCTGGATTTTTAGTGAGAAATATTTTTCATTCCAGGGTGCAGGGATGGTGCAGAGGAACTTCTAAAGTGAGCCAATATTAAGTCCTATTTTGCTTTACACCAACACTGTCCTTTCTTACAGATCTTTGGTGACGACAAAGGGGTCAGGGTTTATTTTCTAAATTAGCTCACTTTCAAAGATCTGTTTATTAACTGACACCAAGATCACTTAAAAGCAACTTATTGTTGGTGTAGGGAGGAGCCCAGAAGAGAAGGGGCTGATGGAGATGTCTCAAACACCAAGAGCCATCCAAGGACTGTTGGTGAAGAACACGATGTGACTGTGGAAGGGGCCATGCACATGTAGGGCACCACTTTTCTGTCACAAACACCCTCTTTCCAGTCCCTGGAGACACAACAGACAAAAGACAGCATCAGCACAGGAAAGGATCTGTCAACCAAAGACTGATCTAGCAGGGGGGACAAGTAACCACTCAAGACCCCCAAAGCCTCCAACCCACTTCAAGATAGATCTGAAAGAATGGACTGAGCATGAGAATTAATGTCCAGAGACAGTCACAGCAATCTGTCTGTAAAATGGTATCAACACCAAGCCCAGACACTGTCTCCAGGACTGGATTTATCGGATTTATCCCATCGTTTTCCTTCCTGCTTAACTTTTGCTTCCCTCCCTCCCTTCCTCCCTTCCCTGGCAGCTCTGGACAGAGTTCTGCATCTGAAACTTGTCTGTGGCCTTATGGCTCAGGAGGTGGCTAGGGTGACCTTCACTGAGATGTCTGCAGAGGAACACACACGGATCAGTCTCTTTTCCATCCCTGTGAGAGGCACCCACGCCAAATGGTGGAATCCCCAGTGTCCGCCTTGAGGGGGCTGCAGTAGGAGCTGCAGGTTGTGCCTGAATGGGGAATGACTGGAGCCTCGGGCAAGGGGCTTGGAATGGACTTGCTGGAATTTCTGGTTCTGGGCACTGGCAGTGCCTCCAAACACCACATCTGGGCGGTGCCTGAGCCAGCAATGGGAAATTGCTGGATTTTGACTTTCTATACCAGCAAATTGCTGGACTTGGGCTGTGCTGGCACTGGGAAATTTCCAGATATGGCACTGGCAGTGTCAGCATGTTACATGGAGCCGTGAGTCAGAGACAGAGACAACTCTCAGAACTCTCAGAGATCCATATGACAAAAGCTTGTTTTATTATTCAGACCTTTCTTATATAGAAGTTAGAATCTCCCCCGGCTCAGGACAGTAGATTGGTTAGGACTTAGGACTGCTCAGCTCTCTGCCCATTGAGGCGTCTGCAGCTTAGGATGGAATGTCATTGGGTGTAGTCCCTGTTTGGGTTAGAATATATCCTATCATTGTTCACCTAGGGGCTTGTTTCTTGAACCAGGCTAACTGGATTGGATTTCTTATCCAAGACTGAATTAATTGCCCAGCTACAAGCCAGCTTGTGCTGTGACAATTTCCCGCTTCTTTTTTTTATTAAAAATATGCAACCTGTTCTCTGTCATTTTACCTGCAAGGGCCCTTTGCAAGCAAGATGACACAGATAGCATGAGTCTAACTTGAATGATGCTTTCAACATAATTTAACAAATCTAGCTCCCCCAGTTGGCAATGTGTTCCATGTATCACTGGAGCTGCAGCATTCATGTTCAGGAGCTGTCAGGTGAAAACACTAACCTTGGGGCTAGCATGTCACAATTTAACTGCTTAAAGTTATAAATTACAACTTAACTCTATAAATAAGAAAGTATTTAACCTTTTAAACTGAAATTATAACTTAACTCTATAAATAGAAACATTCAACTTTAGAACTGTGAGAAAAAACCAAGAGAACAAACAATTTTTAGACAGGAAAAAAAATTGTAAACAAATAAATCTTAAAGTAAAGTGATATTTTAAAAGTCCTGGATTCTATGAGGTAGGTGAACAAACTTTTTTGGTCATTGCTCTGTACACAACTCTGTCATGTCTGTTGAGGGATCATCAGGAGGATGCTGCTTGTGGTCCCAGGCAAGACATAGTGCAGACTGGATACATCTGGCAGGTATCCAGCATGTTCCAGTGTCTGTGGAAACACAGGCATATTCCCTCCCCAGGTAATAAGATAGCAAGGACCTTCCCATGAGGTCTTTGGTGAGGAGATGTCTCACCATTACTTTGGGCTTGAGCAGCTGAACATCACAGGATGATTGTAATCATAGAAGGTGATTTAAAATAACTGGGTTCTGGGACTTTCCTAATACTGTTAAATGATTTAGTATATATGTAGCTTTAGCCATTTTGCTCTGTGGGGATTCACTACACATTCCTCCCTTTTGTTTATTAAGTGTACCTTTTAAAGTACCATTTGCCCTTTCCATGATAGCCTGTCCTACTGCTGCTGTGATACACCCCAGAGCTGTAGGAAATGCCTTGTTTTCTGTGAAATGTATGCAAGGCCATTGTCTGTTTTGATGATGAGAGGGATGCCAAAAGCCGCAAAAGCTGATTGCCAACATGTGATGGTATCCCAACCTTTTTCCCCTGTGTGTACTGTAGCCCATATTGCTGATGAAAATGTATCAATTGAGATGTGTATATTCTTGACAGCCAAATTCAGGGATATGTGTGACATCAGTTTGCCAGATTTGCAAAGTTTGCAGTCCACGAGGGTTGACTCACATCTGCAGTGTAACACTGTGGCCTTGGCAGTCAGCACAGGTGTTAACTATATTACGAGCCTCTGTGTTTGACAGCTGGAATTGCCACTGTAAGGCTCGAACACCTTGGTGGAAAAATTCATGTGATGCTTTCGCTTGTGCTAGTGTATCTGGCTCTGGTGCTGTCCAAGCAGGACCAGGTAGCATATCTGCTCTGGCATTGCCCTCTGTGTGATCCCAATGTATAAGATATAATAAGGGTAAGTTCTGGTTTGGATAGTAAGGTATAGAGTTTTTAGTAAGTTGAATAGTTGTGCATTATCAATTTCCTTTAATAGTGCTCTCCCTAATCTCTGTGTGATGTCAGCTACATATGCAGAATCAGTTACCACATTTAGAGGAGTGTGGGGAAAGTGTTGGAAAGCTGTAGCTACAGCCCATAGCTCTACCATTTGAGATCATCCACTCTTGTATCCCTCTAACATTTGCCATTCACTTTCCTCTTTCCATGTTATAATGGCGTTTTCTGCTTTCCCAGAACCATCAGTAAACACTGTAACATCCTTTTAGGCTATTTAGTCATTTCAGTGACAGTGCAGTTTCTTCACTGATGTTGGGGGTTGAATTGTTCCCTTCTCTTTCTGTGGAAATTTTCCTATTTTTTAATGCTAAGTATTTGTGGTTACACCTTAGTAGTAACAGTTTCTCTTGCAGGGGTTGCGGACAGGGGTAACACCAGAAAAGGAAAGGTGGGACAGGAGGGGCTGGGGTGCTCTTGCTATCGCTCGCTCGTGGAGTCAGAGGAAGACAGCCAGGGCTCCAATCTATCATTTTCCCCACAATCCCAAAGCAAGAGCCACGTTCCCTGCCATTGGACATCGCTCTGCTGCTCTCCCACTTCATCCTACTATCTCCGGACACTCTGCCGAGCACCACGACCGACACCGTGAGGGGAGTCACTTTCCCATCCCCTCTCACGCCTGGCCCACTGCCATCACCCAGCTCTCTTCAACTGCGCGGGACCTGCCCTGCCCCCAGCACCAGTAACTGAGCGCAGGGAGACAGCCTGTGGCCAAAAGGGACTGGAACTCAGCTATACTGTTCTGTTTTGTTGTCAGTTTCTAAAGCTGTTGATATTTCTTTTGTTTGCCTTGTTAGATATATTAGTGAAGAACTGTTATTCCTACCTCCCATATCTTCTTCCTGAAAGCCCCTGATTTCAAACTACAATAATTGGGAGGGGGTTGCACTCTCCATCTCAGGGAAGGGGTTCTTGCCTTTCCTTAGCAAATACCTGTCTTTCGAACCGAGACAACTTAACTCCAGCAATCTAGGGCTTGGCAAATGATAAGCGATTTGTCCAGAAAAATTTTTCAAGTCACTTTGCAAGGCTGTGCAATTAGCAAAACACCATTCAAACTGTGCTTGTGTCACGGGAATAATGGTTTTTGAAGGCTCTCTAACATTTTAGCAATTGTAAACACCTGTGACAACATTTGATAATTAATTGTGTGATTAGCTCAAACACTGTGGGTACTGTCGTTTTTGGTTG